TTTTTTTTTACAGGTGAAACAATAGTGGTTCTTGCTAAAGTTGACAATTCTTCATCCAGTGACATGACACCGAAATTTAGCTTAATACAGAAAGTCGTGTACCGTGCCAATGGCAGAACCAAACATGAGAATACAGTTTGCCATAAAGTTGCTGACAACTGTATTAAACCAAAAACACGGAAGGAGCTCAGATGTGAAATAAAGATTCCTAGTGATTACATGCTGACAATCCAGAACTGTGATATTATCTCAGTGGAATACTGTTTAAAGGTATGTAGTACTGTATCTAAAGCAAAACTTTAATTTTTGTGGGAATCGATATTATGATTTATGCATGACAGAGCCATTTGTAATTGACTGTGTGAACAGCAATGAATATCATTGAGGAAGTGGCTTTCAGATGTTCTCTTGTTGCTTTTCCAGTGTAAAAATAAAAGCATCATGTACTAATGAGACAGATTTACATATATTTTCCTTTCTCCTAGGTATATCTGGACATCAGCTTTGCTTTTGATCCAGAGGTTCTGTGCCCAGTGGTCATTTTACCTCCTGGCTTGGCTGTAGGTCCCTATCCAACAGGTGCTATTGGGGGTCCAAGCAACAGTGACTTCCCTCCCCCCACAATGCCCATGGGCCTTCAACCTATGTCTCCACATTCAGGCAGTTATGGATATCCAGGAGTCCAACGCTATTCAGCACCACCACCTATATACCCAAATAACCCTGCTGTATATGGTGGACCAGCGGGTGTGCAATCTTCTCAGCCAACACACATGTTTGGAAGCTACAATAACCCAGTGCCACAGGTGCCTTCACCATATGGAACTCCATTTTCATCTTCATTATCTTCTGTCCTGCACCCGCCACCACCCCCAACAGCACCACAACAATTTTACCCACCCTCACCCCAACAATTTCACCAAACCCCATCTGCCCTTGAGAGCCAGCCATCTCCTTCTATTCAATCTCCATTACCTCCTGCGTACAACATGCTGCCTTCTGCACCAGTGATGAATGTAGACTTCCTGTCTCAATCAGATGGAGCTCCTCCATCATACTCACTCCTTTTCCCAGACAAATCTGATGCAAAATAACTGACTAAATGCTAAATGGTCAATTAGTGAGTTATTTAGTTATAAACTAAACCTGTGTAGGTACAGATTTGACATTAGACCACCCCTATTATGTCTTGAACATTTTTTTATTAAAATGAAATTGTTAATGTATGCAGTATTTATCATTTAGTCACCTATATACTGGGCATAAATAAGACTTTTGCACTGCATGTGATTTAATGGGCAGGTCAGGTCGCTCATTAACTTTGTACAGCTACTTACGCCTTAATTACCATGGTGCACTGTATTTTGCATTGTTCAAAGTGCAACAACAGTCAAAGCATTTAATACTTTTCCTACCTCTGTTATAAATAGTTATTATTATAAAATGTTACAATATTATTTTTTGCAAACTGCCAGTTTTTTTCTCTGAGTTGTAGAGCTGAATAAAGTTATGTAAAGTTTATTTTTGAATGTTTGTGAATAGTAGTAATTAGTTAATTTTTTTATATGGTAGATCTCATTCATCTGATTTTTTCAATCTTATCAAGCAACTCTTTTTAACAGTGTGAAATCTTGTTTTAGTCTAATACCCTTGGCCGTCAAACAATTTTGAAGACAGATTTACCAAACCAAAATTTGGTAAATTAACCAAAATTGCGCAAGTCCTTCCTGCTGTGCAATAGCTGAGGTAATTTGCTTAAAACAATGTTGTAAAAATGTTGCAACTGTTTTAGATGGGTTAGGCAGTTGGATATGTTTTCTTCTTTCTTTTTTAAACCTCATGCTTTAGGCAAAGGCAGACAATCATTTGTAAATTCAGCTGGCTGGCATCAAAGAAAGGAGTCCATTTGACCAACAATCTAGCATGTCTCCAGTACAGGACTTCAGTCTCACTTATGAATCGGTCAGCAATGATGCCATTTTTTCTGGAGGAGACACTATCTTAGGCACAGCTACTTAAAGAAAATTGGAGTAAACTGAAAAAACAAAAGACAATGGACTTCCTTCACAACTAGTTCATATGTATAAATCTCACACATAAACTCTGGATGAATGTTTCACAGAGAAATCTGTGATTCATTGGGACTTTCTTATCTGAATTTATCTGTACTCATTGAACAAATTTAGTGTTAGGCCCTGTGTACAAACAGATGATGAAGACCTGGATGTCTTATGTTACAGTCAAACAAGGGAAAATAGTGGTTGGAGACTGCAGTACAACCAAAACTATCCCAAATGTGTGCATCGAAAGCAAGATCTTGTTGTCTCTTAAATGGTTGCTTCAAACATGGGGACCTGATCTGCAACCAATTTCAGGTCAGTGATTTAAATGAAAATGACAATAGGAAGACAGAAGGTAATGCCTGTCACATGCCTGTCTCCCAGTACTCGTGACAGGCATAAACCTACTATGGTCATATTGTTTATGAGGAAACAAATATGTGAGCTTTACTCCACAGATAACATAATTATTTTGCTTCTACTTTGTACCCTCAATATTTAGTACAAGCGAGCAGTAATAAACTATCGGTCAAATTCATCATGTATTTAATAACAACTATGAAAAGTGGAGACAGCGCTTTTCAGTTGTGGTACCAAGCTCTGAAACTGTTAATCACTCTACCTCCACCTGCTCATGACTAGATAGAATTGTGGAACTTCTTTGTCTAAATAATGTAGGCTAATCTGGACAGAGGTTATCTTAATCTTTACTAAATTTATAGGCATACTGGTAATCTACGAAAATGCCATTATAGCTATGATAACCTATGCAACTGCTGTCTATATTGCTAATAATATTATTCACCAGCATCTTTGCACATTCACAACTGCTTTTGTTGTTATGGTGCTTAGGTTACTGCCAATACTTGTGCGAGGTACTGACGACAGAGAACCAAAATACAACTGAACTAGAAACTCAAAAACAGAAACACTACCTTACTAGAAGCACAGAGAAGAAAGGGAAAAAAAACAGCACAGTGAGGGTATGACACTTCAGGACTTAAAAACACAGGCAGGACAACGAGAGGATGGGGAACAGGTGGTAACACAGCTGGGACAAATTAGACCTAACGACACACACTGATGGAGGTAAAACATAATCTCTAATAGCAAGAAACTAAACAATTTAACATGAACACATGAAAATACAATAAAACCATAGACCACTCAAAGAATCTAACTATTCTTTTAACCAGTTAACACAGTCCAAAACCTAGAGATTGAAAACTAACATAAGCACACAAACACAAAAAAACCTGATATAAAACCAAGAAATATTAACCAAAATCAAACAAAACACATGAACATTTGGTCACCAGACACAGGACCATGACAAAAGGACTGGGTCTGTTTGGTACTGTGTCCATAGTCCTGTTCAGTGAGTGAAAATATATACTCCAAGGAACAGGCCCAAATGTCTGTTTACTATCAACAGAAAACTGCTAACCAGGAAGTCGATAGATAGATAGATAGATAGATAGATAGATAGATAGATAGATAGTGTTGGGTTCAATATTGAGGAGGGATAGAGGAGGTAATCAACTTTCATAATAACAACACTGATCCGGCCGGGTGAAGTCAAACGATGATTTTAATGACACGCGTGGGAAGACCGCCACTGTACGCAGACAGTGCCGATCCCCGACTTACAGAGCATAAGCAGGTGTTTTATACCTTTCAGGGCTTAAATTTACTACGCCCCTTAAACGTCACTCAGATACAGTTCATACATAGGTTTCAAAACCACAATGACTTAACACAATTTAAAATAACATTGTCTCCATCTCCACAGCAGATGTTTCCTGTCAACATTCTGACTTTCACTTCTTGTCTGGAACACCAAACTGTTCCTCTTTTTGCAGAGACAGCAAGAAACTATTCCTCTTTTACAGAGACAATTTTAGAGTTACAAGCAAACATGATTAACCTCTCACCTATAAATGAGTCTAATGTGTGAGTGTCAGCATGAAATGCACTCAGTTTCACCTCTCGCCTCACCAGCTGAAACTTCTAACCTTTTCCACCAGACAGAAGGCCAGCACGTACACATTTAAGATTATAACAAGCATTCAGAAGCATTTAAGATTATTGATTCAACTCAACAGTTTAATGTGGTTATAACTGCACCTGTAATAAAGGCTAATTGGGTACCAATATGTTTAAACATCTGAATACAATATCAATACTGCAGATTGTATTATTAATGCAATGGTAATGATGATGATGATTATTAACAATAGCAGTAAAATATATCTCTAATTCCTCACATTCCCTCTCTTGGTGACCCTCTTGAGGGTCACCACACTTTACGTGTGTCATTGCTCTGACCCTCTCTAGAAGTTCTCTGGCTCAGCCAATCAGACAACAACCTCATGTCATCTAAGTGGTCCAGTAATAAACATCAGCTCCCCCTTAAGAACAGTCCATGCATGAGATTAGGTTTTTTCTGGGTCCCTCTCTTGTGGTCCGTCAGGTCTCGGGCCTCCAGGATCCTCACCCCCTGTGGTAGCCGAGATCTCCTGCAAAGGAACAAAACACCTTTTCCTACGCCTCCCTAACTTATCCTGTTTGGGACTCTTTAATCAAAAGCATGATCCTAATTATCTTTGACTTATTAACTATTATTTATACATATTCTTCAACGTTACTCATCTCAGTACTCATCATTTTGACACTCTTAAAGCATTGCTTTCACGTCCCTGCATATGTTTCCTGTTGCTCGCTCTATTTTCCCTTCTCTGATCATCAACATCCTGTACACAAAACTGTCGCTGCTGCAAGGGCCTCCACTCTGACCTAAAAGTCACCTTTCCCAATAGGTCACAAGCAAATCATTATAAGCGCCTATTCCACTGAAAGATAAAAAAGAAAACAACCATTTTAATCAATTAACCTCTTAAGCCCCAACGCCCCCTGATACGGGGGCAAAAAGCAGGAGATCAGGTAGGCTTGGGGCTTAAGAGGTTAAGTTTAAACATATAAGCAATTACTCATGCGTAAATTTCATCATAGCTAAACGCTGCCCAGAAACAACCCCTGTGTTAACACTAACCTCATTTTAAAACTCACATTTCCTGTGTCATAACCTGTTGCTGATATAGCATCTTTATTTCATTTTGCTTCTCTATAAACTAGAGTTAAATTCTACAGTGGCCTCTTTTGTTAATGGCACAAATTATATCAACAGGTTTCTCCTCTTAGATAGAATAATTTTATTTCGAACATACAAATATAACTGAAATAACAAGAGAAAAGAAAAACTTAAAATACACCCCCTTATTTCAAATTCCATTACTTAAAAAACAATATTCAGAATTTAAAATTATATGATCCATACATGATTTACTATACACAGGTCTACATTCATATACAACACATAAACATACACACGTAAAACAATTTCAGCTCATAAACCAAAACGACAACAAACTACATTTTTACTTAAACTAAGCACCCTAGGGTTAACATCCAACTCTGTGCTTATTTTATGATGTACTATGATGGACAAATACCTTAACCCTTTAAATAAATAACATAAATATAACCATATTCATAAATGATTTTTACATGTGTTTAACAGCAGATGTTAAGTTACATAAGTCCAAATCTGGGGCATTGAAATTACAGCTTGGTCCAAAAATAATTATTTTATCCTCATTGAAGGTAAGAAAATTTGAGGCCATCCAGGTTTTAACTTTGTAAAGACATTTGAATAGGGATTCCATGGGAGTGGAGGTGTTTCTATTAAACTGAAGATAAATCTGGGTGTCGTCAGCATAAGAGTGAAAGCAGATGTTATGCTTCCTAAACATTAGGCCTAGGGGTAACATATAGATTGAAAAGAGAATTGGGCCTAATACAGAACCCTGCGGGTTCCACAAGTAAAAGGAGCTGGGGAAGAAATAAAATCATCAAGGCTCATGGAAAAAGTCCTGTCGGAGAGGTAAGACCTAAACCATTCCAAAGGGATGCCTTTGATACCACATTGCTCCAAACATGAGATCAGAATGCTGTGGTCAACAGTATCAAAGGCTGCAATTAAGTCTAGAAGCAGGAGCACAGCTGAGTCTCCTGAGTCCGTGCGTAATAAAATATCATTAAGTATTTTTAGGAGGGCAGTTTCTGTACTGTGGTGGGTTTTGAAGCCTGACTGGAACTTCTCGAAAATATCATGACTATTTAGAAAGGATTGTAGCTGCTCAAATACAATCCTTTCTAGAATTTGAGGTTTGTTTTTTTAAGTACTGGCTGCACTACAGCGTGCTTGAATCAAGTTGGTCCTATTCCAGAGCTAAGACTACTATTAAAAATAGTTAAAATGTCAGGGCCGACTACCTTAATAATCTGTTTTCGAAAATGTGTTGGGACTTCATCTGTGGGGCAGGATGATGTCTTTATGCTGTTACAAAGATCTTCCACTTGGTTAAGACATACAGGCTCAAACTGGTCAAAAGCAGTTGAGCAGGTATATGTTAATGAGACATCGTACAGAGACAGGGTAGACGCAGATTGAAACATTTCTTAATTCTTATTAATAAAGAACTCCAAGTCGACTGGGGCTGAGCGC